ATCCGTTTGATTTTTTTTGGCAGAAAATTAAGTTTCCCAAAGTTTCACCACGGTCGGATTGAAAATAAAAATCTCTCAAACGGATCCGATCTCAAACGGATCCAATCACAAACGGATCCCAAACGGATCCTATACTGATTCCAAACGGATCTCAAACGGATCCCAAACGGATCAACATAGAATTTGCGACATAAAAAAATTTTTTTTTTTGAAAAATTTATTCAAGGAAAATTACAAATTGCTCGCTTTGACTCGCTATGGCTATTTTTTTGAAAAATTTACTATAAGAAGAACTACTTATAACTCGCAATCGTTCGCTATGGCTCGCTAGCGTTCGCTATCGTTCGCTACGGCTAAGATATCTTTCGAAAGATCGATAAGATAACGAAAATTATTTGAATAAAATTTTGAAAAATGTCACGGTGAAAAAAAAAGAATGTTAATTAATATCTGCTATAAACAAACTTCACGCACTGTGGATATTAATCGGTCGGGGTATTCGGGCCCCTGAATCGTGAGTTGAAGTTGTCGGATGTGTTCTGCGAACACCGTGCGTAACACGATAGAATTTCAAATTATAGGCATTACTGTGCACTATTTATCGTCCTATCAGAGGGAATCGTTCGTTTTAGCTTTTCGACAGATATATGGCAAAAATCATACGATGTTTGACCAAAATACTTATAAACGCCTTTAAAAAATATGATCTGGCAGTGCACAAAATAGCACATATTGTTACGGATGGTGGAAGCAGCTTTTTCAAAGCGTTTCGAGTTTATGCCATTTATGCAATACGAAGGTGAATTTCTCGAAATTTCTTGAATGCAATCAACTTGATTTCAATGGGCGTGCAATGGAATTTGATAACGAAGAATTGAATTCTCTAGAATAAATACAGCGTATGATACGGTCGCACACCAAAGGTTGTTTTTACATACATTTTTTGCTGTATTTTGTATGACGGTGTTTCGCTTTGAAATGCAACCTTTTCATACGCTGTTTTTATTCTATAGCAATCAATTCGAATATAATTTTGACGAATCGGGTCATGAAATTGATCATTTTCGCTTCAATGAACAAATTAATCATACCAAAAATTGATGATTTCTTTTTAAATAAATGACCAAAATATCTTATTATTTATCTTAAAAAATAAAGATAAGATACCAAAAAAAGATAAGATGATTTTTTAAGTTTCTAAAATCATCTAGATAAGATAAAAGATAGTATCTACAGTATGTTTCATTATAGAGGCAGGTTGATTTTTTATAATAAAACTCAAGAGTTTTACAAAATTATTTTATATACATTTTATTTAGTATCTAAACTACGGCGCCAAAAATTAATATTTAATCCATTCTCCTTCTTTCTCGATCACACGGGCACATCTGTTAGGCATACTTTTGCTCAAATTTTCAGCATATTCGCGTTGAAAATCTTTCCACTGGCGTTGAATGAATGAACTGAGCTGCTTCAAATTGCGGTGTGTTTTACCACGAAGACTTGCCTTCATAATGGCCCAAACATTTTCGATCTGATTGCAATCGGGTGAATGTGGCGGCCATTTCATTTGTTTTATTCTATTTTCCTCTTTCCAAGCGGTGCAGAGACGACTCTTGTGTTTTGGATCATTATCTTCTAGTAGAAGCTAATTCGAATTACCGTTGCCATAGAACTTTTTGGCGGTGGGTAACACTGTCGATGCATAAAGTTGGTTCATCCTCATGGCGTTTAGAATGCCCGTGAATATGGTCAACTTTCCAAAACCAGCTTCACAGAAGCAACCATAAACATGCACCTTTTTCGGATGCTTTACCGTGCGAACGACCACTCTCTTTTCGGCTCTAGACTAGGCATGGGTAGTGCTTTTCACCAGCCAAAAGAATGACTCGTCAGTGTATATAACTTCGCTCCAATCTCTTGTTGAATTTTGCTTTGCCCAGTCAATGCGATTTTCTTCTGGTTTTCTGTCAAAAGTGATTTCTTCATTGTACTGCGATAATGAACACCGGCGACATCCAACCTTTTCTTGAGTGTGGAGCGCGAGACCTCTATTTTAAGATGGCGTAGCCGTTCAACACTTTGGCTTAACGACATACTTGGATTTTCGTCGAACAACTTAACTATTCGCTTATCTTGCTTTGGCGAGGAGGCTCGGTTTGGCTTAAAATTGGGCTGATCGTTCAAAATTTTTTCGTGCTTATACTGCTGGATCCACTTTGTTACGAACTCTCTTGACTTTATAATGGGTTTTTGACCATTTTGGTCCTTTTGGATGTAAATGCAAAAACACCGCTTCAAAACGCCTATGAAAATATTCCGAATCCATATTTTCGTTGCACAACAAACACTGTAGTGATTTGAGATCTGTCAATGTTAATTGGCGCATTAGCTTAGAGTGCCATCTGGCGACACCAAAAATATTTTCAAGATATTTGAAACTTTTTGTGGTTAAATCAACCGGCCTCTATAATGAAACATACTGTATCTTATCTTATCTTACTATCTCAAACGAGATAAGATATCTTAACCAAACACTGCTAGCAACAAACATGGCCTGGAAATGCCTATGTAATTTACATCTAAACGAGTGAGACTCAAACATGTGCTTCTTCTTCAAAGCAATACATACACACTAACTCACAAACAACAGAAGTATACGCCATAACAGCAGTGCAAACACAAATACATGCGCGCGCTACTCAGCTTTGTTTCTGTGATGAATACTTATTGACTTCTGCTGTACATGTGGTGCTTGTGTATGTATTGTCAGTAACACAATCCACAGAAACTTGCGTCGTTAAACGCCATCTCACGAGTCATATGTGCAAGCGGTAAACTCCATTTAAATCACACAAATATTTTCACTGATGCCAAGTTGTGTTAGTAACAAATGGAAACGGCAAATAAAATTTTGTATTTGCTACAATGACTCGTTAGAGGGCGCTCAAGAAAGTTCAAAAAGTTTTCTGTATTATTTAACATTAGTGGATTGTATGACTGGTATTGTTTTGAAGAAGAAGCACATGTTTGAGTCTCACTCATCTCCGCCCCTTGGCAACAAATATGTAAACACGATAAATATTAATTTGAGTTTAAACAATGCTTATAAACAAGAGAATAATTTTTTTGAGAAGAAATGATGCTAAAAACAATGAAAAAAAAAACAAAAAAATCACTAAAACTACGGAGCTAAGAAAAAGTGTTGTTTACTGTTTGACAGGTGACAGTTTTTTTTGAATGTGTGTATCCTTATCGCGAATTTAAATATAACAACCGTTTGAATTTTTGTGTTGTAGATTTTTACCCCCATTACCGAAAACAGCGAAACCTTGCGAATTTATATGTGGCACCATCTGTTATAAATGATGGAATTAAAGTCATTCATTGAAATGCGACAGCTCCTTTTCAAAAAAAATAATGTTATGCGTCGCAAATTCTAGGAATGATATATTAGTCTTCTCTATAGTAAATTATTCAAAAAATAATAATTTTATACGCCACAAATTTCAACAAGGAACCTAATGAGGATCTAATGAGGACCACATGGAGATGAGTTAAATTCATTTTAAAAAAAATTGAAAACGATCCGTCGCGAATGAAAATCATTTTGTTTTAGTAATTTCACCCGTATTTTTTTAGGACGGATGAAATTCAACCGAATAAGCTGCGGATCGCGTTCATTAAGAGTACCTTTTGTTAAATACACAGCGAATCGCATATCACTTATGCTTGTTCCATCATTTCTGAATTTGATTGGCATGTTAGGTCGCCCTTGTATTCCATCCACACATAAACATATACAAATGCTATCATACGCCCGCATAAATACATACATAAAGCCATCGTTGTTGTCATAGTCGTTGCCGATACCAAATACCCTACACATTCGCATAGCCAAACACATGGGAACTCCTTGATGTTTCATGCACTTGACACAACAACAATGCAATGTTGGGTGTAAACATAGCTTGTGCACATAGCACACGACTTGGTATCGCTTGAAAACCGAAGAAGAAGAATGAAAAAATATCGAATGGAGAAAGCATTATTCGTATGCATGCAACGGAAAAGCTCAATCCGACGATAGGAACTGTAACGGTGTTTTCCTGCTGTTTCTGTTGCCGTTGTTGCCTGTATGCTTAAGGGCACCAATGAAGTAAAAGGGATAAAGGGTATACAACACACACAGCCATATAGTTCAATTTTGAATGTAGACTATAGATTTCTGCATTGAATTTCAATATCTTGTGTTTCTCCAACGACTGATACGATGTAAATGTTTCGATACAATAAACGATGCCACATGCACAATCTCAATACATGGTTGCAAAAGAGATACACACTTGCATGCAATTCACGCACCACTATTATGATTCGATCCCATCGGAATGAAAGTAAAAGAATACATATATATCTTGTTTCATTTTCGTTTATTTCCATCTGACTCCCTCTCCACCATCACCGTCACATTCACAATGAATATAGGCGAAATAGGATACACGGCACGAAGAACTGATAATACAGTTTTGCATGATGAAAACACATGTTGTTACTATTTCTATTGCTGTTTCGATTGATATGACTATCATTGTTGCCGTGGCTGTGGCTCTGCCTAGCCTCACTGCCATACACCATTTCGCGCAGAATCCAACAGAATTTTCTCCATCACACTCTTACTTTCTTATCCATAAATTTTCGGTTTGAATTGTGAAAAACATTTAGGATTTCACATACATTTTCCACACTCATTTTCCATATGATTTCGAGTGCCACCAATACGAACAATACATTATACGCTCACATGAAGAGCGCCACCGTTTATCGCATACAAATATTACATATACAAGCAAATATACAGGACATACACATTCGAATACATCATGTATATGTACACATAAGGAGACGAAATTTTTGGTGAGCACACAAATAACAAAAATGACTTTCATAGCCTTATCCATCGACCGAAACTGAAATGGAATTGATTTGATATCTGCATACCTTAGCCAAAGGTATTATATTATTCATTTTAGACAATGTTTAGTTCTATACTCATTTTTTGATTTTTTCGGTTAAAGTTTTTGTCCATTCATTTTGATTGTTTCATTTTGTTGTTGTCAATGTGAACGTAAAAAAATCAGCATTTTTATCAAGAAAAAAAAAACAAATTTTAAAAAATATATAAATTCAATAACACGGATGAAAAGAAAACTACAACCAGCTAAAAAAATAATTCAAAGAACATTCACGTAGGAGCAGAGAGCAGAGAGTACACACAAACTTCATTCATCCGAGTTGAAAAATGGCAAAAATTCCAGTTAAAGTGTAGCACATTACACTGAAATCATTTTGACGAAACAAAAAATTATATACATATATAAATAATCCGAACGTGATCTGTGTTAGTTTTGCTTTGATTCGTTGTGTTTCGATTTTGGGTTTTATTTAAATGTCATACACAAAACAATATAATTAAATATATAAACGAAACATTTAACTAGTTTTAGAAAAAAAATATATTTAAAATGAACAAAAGTATGACTCATAAAGCTCGCATAATACGGAGAAAATAAAGAATCACTTCAAAAAAATGCTCATAAAATTTAAGCGGCTTACATAATAACGAATTAATCAACTGTAAAATCAAGTAAATAATAAAATTAATAAAATATATAATTTCCAATAAAATAAATACTAAAAAAGAAGCAATAAAATATCGTTCAATGGCAAATCAAATCTGAAGTGATGCAATTTTGCATTGTCCAAAGAAAAGGCAAAACGGTGTGATAAAAAAAGAGAACAACAGTTTCATTGGTAACCAAATCAAACACAAAACACATTAAATCATATGGATGCGATCGTGCGTTAAAAACGAACAGTTATTGTAATTGTTGGCATTTCGATTATTTGTTTTTTCTTAACAAATCAAAATCTATAATACACATATATTCGGTTGGTTTGCTTCTCGTTCTCTCAATTTCTATTTCTCAATCGTCTTTTCACGGCAGCGAGTGGGCAAGGCGAGCGAGTGAGTAAGCATTGTGTATTTATTTATGGTTTTGTCATACTAGTTCGATTTTGCTCCTTTTTTGTCATACTAGTTCGATTCATTCGATAGTTTTATTTATTACGTAAATCATGCATACATCTTATCGATTTTTTCCGATACATTTTTTGTTTCCAACGAATTGGAAGACATTTTGAAAATCGATTTAAGAATTGGTATATTTTATTTCCTAATTTACTTCGTATCGCACCGCACACATTCAATTTCGTAAGTTAAAAGAAAACACAGAAAACGGTACGGAATGAAATATACAAAAATATTGAAACGCATGTAAAATTAGAATAATTAAATTTAGCATTAAAAATTCAAAACAAAAAACCAAAAGAGTAAACAAGACAAACTAAAAACAAGAAACTTAAATACTAATTATAATCGTAGAAATCAAAATATAATTCGTCTGTAAATAATCATAGAGATTGCAAATGTATAAACTCAAATTTAAAGTCAATCAAGACAATGATAAGAACCATACCAATAATCCAAAAGAACAACAACAAAAGCAACTGCACTACGACATTAACATAAGCAAAGAAGAATTTATGTGCATCAACAGCCAAATTGACTTATCTTGACCGAGTAAATGAAACGGAATTGGAATTGGAATTGACTTCGATTCGAAATCTATAGCAAAGCAAAGCAATAGCACACGAACCGTAAAATAAGATACAAAATCAACAACAACAAATCAAATCCTTTAGACCAGTCAAATTAGAAAATCATTTTCATGATAAACACAGGCACAACAGAAAACGTAAGTTCAACATTAACTAGCATATTTGTGCATACTATTTTTGTCAAATATCTTACTCTATTTTGTTCCAAGTAAATTGTTTTCCGTCAACAAACAACGTTTCGTTTTATTCGCTCTCTCTCTTTTTTATTTCGTTCATAATATCCATTTCGTGAACACAACGAAATCTATTTATAATTTAGTTTTTCATTTTAGATTATGGGTATATATTTATTTCCATGACCTCTACTTGCTTTTAGAAATTGTTTTTATTTTTTTCCTTTTTTAGATACATTTTCAAAATGACTGACATATACCTTTTGAATTTAGACAATCAAAAGGAACTCTATACATACACACACAAAAAACTATAACAAATGTTTGATTATGTAAAAAAAAGTAAATAAGACAACACCGTGAAAACCTTAAATTTGCAATCGAAATGGAATGCGAATTTTCTCAAATGCATGATTTTTGCTATTTTCTGTCTCTCTTTAAACCCCCCCTCCCCCTTCGAATCCACAAAATACTCTTCATTTTTTTCTGTGTCTTTAGTGATTGAATTTAACAAGCTGAATGCTATTGAAAATGAAAATGATACATAATTTGTATGTTGCATAATATCACGCTAATTTTCTGCACACAATGAGGGTGAGCTTTATTTTTTTATGGTACACCTGTCGGTACCAAAAAAAAATCCCATAGTTTTTGATTTTGACATAAAAAAAAGTAACACACTCATATTGCCATGGATTTAAAGTAGATGTTTATTATTTCCCTTTTTTATTATTATTCTGTATGAATTTCGGCAACATGTACACACGATTATATTTTTGTATGTGATGAAATGTGTGCGTGTGTCTGGTTGCATGTGGTGATGAAATTAGCTCAGGGTGGTGGCCGTGAGATGATTAAAATAATGTTCGATGCGATTGTGTTTTCTCTCTCTTTCTTTTCAATTTTTGTATAACGAAACGTGCAAAAAAACGCCCGAAAGCTAGCGAAAAATTGGGGGTCATTCCAAACGCTCGAAGGAGTATTAAAAAAAAACAAAGTCTGACTGACGACGAACGTCTCAATAAATTTTCAATTCGTTTATTTTTACGTTGTTTTTGGTTTTCAAAAATCATAAAATCAATTGCAATTGACGAAAAGCTTGAAATTAAAAGCTCCTCGTCTGTTGTTAGCTCACCAATTTTTCCTTGCATGTCTGAGTGGTAATTTGGTGCAATTGTATTATTTTTCTGATATCTTTGTACTATTTTGTTTTATGATTGCGATTTTGATTTCATGCGTTGGGCTTCGGAAGATTGTGTGCGTGATTGTGTGTAAATGCGTATGAATTTGAATACAAAAACACAATTGGATACATACATGAAAATGCTATACGAGTCGTTGACATGATTATATGCAAAATACATATAGGAAAAATTGTATCAGACATTCTATTGTTATGTACAATGTAATTGTTCTGTATTTTATTTATCGCTTATGAAAAGTCGCAATCAGTGTATTGACTTCTGTGTGCAAATGGTGTGCAAAATGATAACAAAAACGAAAATCAATTCATAATATAAAAGACAATCGTATCTAATGTTTATCGTCGATAAAAATCAATATTGGTGTGTATGTGTATGTGTGCATTGGTGATTTCAATTTTCTCGTTCGTTCTCGTATTTCTCGCCACGTGCCATTCAAACAATCAAGCCAAAAGCCACGCATTCTGATTTTTTGCTTGGTCAACAAGCGAACCATGAATATCTTCGATATCGAAAAGCAAACAAAGAGAACGGACAAGTTGTTTTGTTTGGCCTTTGCACTCTTTTCATTTTCTTGTGCGCTAATACTACAAAAAAGAAATAACTTTGTAAACACAAACGTTGACAGAGAGTGAAAGAGGGAGACAGAGGGTGGGTATGTATGCGCTCACGTTCGAATTATAAAAGCAACAGAATATATAATATCGTTATAAATAAAAATTGGTGGGTGCTGATGATTGGATATGGATATGGTGTTCGATCGAAGATGAAGCATGTAAAAAATTGACAGATTGCTGATGTTTGAAACATCATGCAGAACACATTCAGGACTTTCTTTCATTATTGTTCTTCTCTCTCTCTTCTTCTTCTTTTCATCTATAGCAATTTATATATGTATGGATTTGTTTTGCCATTGCTGCTGATGCTTCTGTGGTGGCGGTTGTTTTGTTGTTATTTTTCCTATGAGATTGGATTACATGCTTACATTGCACAACCAATAAATTATTTATTCGTATTTTGGCTCCTGCTTCTGGTGCCGCTACCACAAACCGTTGTCCACATTCGCGCGATACGTTCGCTGCTTTTCATTTGAATAGCGATCGGTTTTTGTGTATATGAGTGTATGTGCTGGTTTTGTGCGTTTTTCTTTGATGGCATTGACGAACAAAAAAATTATAATAGAAATAAACAATTGAAAATGAGGCAAAGAGAAGAATGAACAAAAAAAAAAAACACAAAATTTAACAAAAAAAAAAACAACAACAGTGGAGCATAATCAAAAGCCAAGGCAATCCAAAATATATCTCTTTGACACTGGCGTATGGTCGTTCGTTTGCTCCCTCTTTCTCCCTATCTCGAGCTTGCAAAGAAAACTCACTTATGTATCCATTTTCGTATATTTCACATAAACGAAGAGACAGGCTGTTACTCTACCGATATGCGATATAATAGCGAACAACACAAACACTTTTCATTTGGCCCTCTTGACTTTCTCCTATATAACTTAACACTTGAAAATTGATTTTTCTTTTCTCTTTTTTTTCATTCTCTTCGTTCCCACTTTGCCTCTATCGTTGTCTCTTTTGCGCGTCCTGTACCGTTTTCATTTATTCTGTGGCACCAATGCGCTTTGCATCATTTGATCAGTCCAAAGAAAAGTACGAAATAAAACTTACTGTTATCGTGTGTATTTCGTGTGTATGATGCTTCTGCTGTGCTGCATTGATATTTCCATCTCTCTATGTATTAAAATTGAATTCATCCATGCGATGTAACTAAAGTGTTGTCATCGTTCTACAGTGTAAAATTCCACACCCAGCGTAAATTCTATCTTTAAACACCACGAAAAAAAAAACATACACACACACACAACAGCAACAACAACCAATCATAATAGATCAAAAAAGAGATGTAAAAAATATTTCAAAATAACAATGAAGGATTCGTTTTTGTTGCAGCTTATATTTTGTGCAAGCGCGTGTATTTCTGAGGCATAAATGGTTTACGATGCTTGGAAAAGTGGTCGAACAATGAAAAATTTGATTAGAAAAGTTTTCGAATGTTGCTGTTGTTCACTTACTGTCCCGTCTTCTGTTGATGTTGCATTTAAATTTGAAAAACTGATGGCGAGATATCATACCCGAACCTGACTCTTTTCTTACTTTTCAATCTCTTTTTGCGTATTGAACGGAGAACATTTGATTTTCATTGGCGTGAGCGTGTTTATTTTTTTTAAAGGGAATCTTTTGTTTGATTCGGTTCAATCGATCTATAAATGGTCAAAAATTGAACAAATAATGGAGAAAAAATTTCGATGCGATTCATAAGCTTTCAGCACCTGATTTAAGGCTGACAGTGAAAGCGATGCAGTGAACACATGAAAACAAATGAAATGAAAAATTCTGGTGTGAATGCAACGACAATAAACGAAAATTGAATTTAGCTTCGATTATATCGCTTTTAATTTGTTTGTTTCAAAACTACATAATTGAAAAGTGTTCGATGGAAGAAAATAAACCTTTCCTAAAGGAAATCCTGGAAATTACTTTTTTTTTTGTTCTCTCGACAGCAAAATCCTCAAATTCTCAGCGGGTATCTCTCGTGTTGGCATACTTTTTTTCCTTTATACATGCATTTTTATGTGAAGTGGTATATATAGCATAGCATACACTTGTATATTGTACGATCCGATTTGGTTCGATGCGATAGGGATAAGATAGAGAGGAGTATGTAGTATAATAAAACTTTTTAATGAGAATAAATGGAAGCGCTAAAACGGAAATCGAATCGATCGATAATAATTGAATTGAGTTTTGATTTGCACACATACACACACACTCGAAGTAGCGCGCGAGAGCCACACAAACACTTAAATTATAACTAAATAAAATGCTGTGAACCATTCACTTTATATCATTGTATGGGTTCAAGGAGCAAGCGAGATGGAGAAAGAGAAAAAACAAATGACCCTCTGGCTTGCCAAAAAAAAAAAAAATGAAAACTGAACACAAAAAAACAAGGAGGCACAAGAGTAGAAATGAACAAAATGTGTATGAGCAGCAAAAATTCACAGGGGCACATAAACCATAAAAATCCAATTTTAATACGAAAAAAAATATTGAGCATCTAATGGGAAGTAAACTTGACTCGTTTGTTACAATATTAAATCATGTATAATACTATGTCAAATCTAAGAAAATATCGTTATCTTCTTGTTTGGTTTACAGCATATCGATAAGTAAAAATAGCATGGAATAAGAAATGAAAGATTGATAATGAAAAAGCAAAGCAAAAAAGAACTGTCTTAGATGACGAAAAACATTAAAAACAAGAACTCGACTGTTATCACGACGTATTTATTCGTATATAAGTGCGAAATTCGTCAAATTTTTTTATTGCCTTCCGTCTTCGTTTTCTTGCTTTTACTTCTGACCTCTCTTTGCAATAATCATTTCATGTCTACAATAGAAATGATGCATATTTCCCATATGCACGATAAACGATTGAAAAAAAAATATATCCCAACAACAACGTTGGTTTTGTTTCCGTTTAAATCACATGTAATCTCACTACATCCTTTTCACAATTGCATATAGACGTACTCCTCCTTCTCTTTTTCTCTCTCGATAATGTATTGAGATTACGTATTCCCGATGAAATCGAGCAAGAACGGAATTCAGAATACAGAACACGATAAGCAGCAGGAGAATAAACGAACAAAAAAAAAACAAGCGAACAACAACAAAAAAATACGACAAGCGAAAACAATCTGCACTGAATTCGGTATTTGTGGCTATTGTCTCCAGAGCATTATTAGCATTATAGTATCATTTGAACGATTTTTTGCTCCATGTCCTTCATACAATCGTTTTATCGTTGTTGATATTGGTGTACAAAATGTGCGATACATGATAAACAAATTAATGGCAGATATTTGGAATCAATTTGCAACACTGTATTTCACTATTGCTATCCATATCCATTTTGTTATGCCATTTGCTATGCTATTTTTCTCTCACTGTGTTACACTTTCGCAAAAATGAGATTACAATTAGAAAGTGTTCAATTGAGCGCATGATTGATATACACTGCATATTGTTTCGTCTTTCAAAAAAATTTAAACGAGGCGCAAAAAACCAATTCACATCCATATCGACGGCATTTAGTCAGACGATGCGGTGAATTTGCTTACACATTTGATCAGCTGAAAAGCATTCTATTACTAATTAACACTTATGCGCACTTTTACCTAAAAACCGTAAAGCATATACACATGATATTCAAACACAGAGAGAGACAGTATGTAGTTTACCTGTCATTTTCACATCAATGTGACTAAAGGATACAGTCGATAATGAGTTCATTGCAAATTATGAGAAAATACAAATCGTTTTCGTTGCAAAGTATTTACTTGGGATGAGTATCATGGTTATGATGAAAATCTCCCCATCTGCCATCATTTGAGGGCGCAACATTCAGCTAAAATTGCAAATGCCTGGAATACGATAGCATGAGCGTCAATTTGAATTGAATGTAATTTAAGAAAAGAAAATATCCGCAACAAGCAGACCGCCTCTTTTTTTCATATACTTTTTATTCGATTTACGTTTAGTGAAGAATGAGAGTTTTGATTTAATGGGCTCCCATCATTTATCGTGCAACGTGAAAAATTGATGATCGTCGTCATCGACGTCGTCGTTGAAGAAAGAGGCAACATAAAAATAACCATTTAAATAGCCAGAAATATGATTTATGAATGACTGGAATGGTGTGTGTATGTGTGAGAGAGAAAGAGAGAGAGTGAAAGAAATGGAGAGCGTGAAAATAGATTATAAGGGTATTGCCATCAAATTTTGAAATAGATTGTAAGTGAACGGACGAATGTGTAACGAGACAAAAAGAAAACAACATATTACATTTAAGATTTTGAGAAAAAGATACGGAAAAATCGCATTTAGCATATAAAGCAAATGTGAAGTGAAAAAAAATAACGAAATTTTCTTTATGGTTCAACTATATACATGGAAAATGATGATCTGAAAATGGAATGGTTCCATCTAATTGCGAAAGAAACAAACATAAGTACCAGAAAACGCTTCAAAGTTTCGCTTGAGTTTTTGAAACTTTTAAACGCACTTTACGCAACATATACATATTTTTGTGCTCATTTCGTAATTTTTTCTTTATTTTTCTTCGCAACACGAAAACAACATTTTTACCCAACAACAACAACAACAAATATAACTTTTTTTCCACTCATGCAAATGTAATTACGGACATTTTATATCATTTAATGTAAGCGACAAAGCGTAACTGTTATAACAGACGAGCATTTTCGAATGAAAACTGGAATATTATGGGATTCAACGAAATATTATAAAGGATCTTATTTTAATGGAACATATTGCACACAAAAATTTACGAATTTTTCGACATTTCAACGCAACTTAAATATTGGATCAAAATATGGAAACATTTATTCGCTCTATGTTTTTATCTTTGTTTGATGGAACTTATTTCTTTGCTTTTTACCACGTTTCTCTCTTCGTTTAACTTGTTTTATCATTTTCGATCCTTTTTTTTTCTCGCCAATTTTTGTTTGTCATTCTTCAGTTTGGTTCACTTTTTGCCTTGTTTGTTTTTTTCTTTCGTCGAATTGTTTCGACACAACTGTGGTTTGGTTTAGCTTTTATTTTCCATTTAATTCCAGTATTCGGACTCTTCACTATTTTCTATTCTATTCTCTCTTTCTCTTTTTTCTCTGCAAACCGTTATAGAAAACAAAATTTTCTTCACATTACCAAATTAAACGAAACAAATCCAACACATTACACCTGATTATCATAACTATTCCAAAAAATACTAAAACAAACAACTAGTCTTTCGCTAGTTTGCTCGCTAAAGATATGCCATTTAAAAATATTCTGCAAAGACGAGTAAGTGGTCCAGGAGCTTATGGAAATCACTGGAGAAGGTATGTATATACAATTTTGCACCAATTTTCATTATCCGCTTCCCCCCATTTTTTATTCTCTCTTGATTTTAGTTCCATTTCACCCTCTATTTCCCTCCCTCTCTCTCTCTCTTGATTTTCTTTAAATACACAAACACCATTTGAAAAATAAATATATATGCAAAATATCGCTTTGTGCAGTAAATTAATTACTTTTTGCACTGTTGGTTGTTTTTTGTTCGAACGAAAAATTCAATTGTGTTTGTATCGTTTAAATACTTAAAGGTGAGAGTGAATGCAAAAGTTATTGAGAATTGAGAATAAGTTTTTGACAACGTGGGCGATAATTATCTTTTGAATGAAAAGTTCCACGGACGGTATTGATTTTTGGTGACTGAAAAATCAATAGAACAAGAACCATATTTTTAGATGTGATTTATATTAAAATATGAACCTCTGTATCAATGTTTGAATATATGCGCAGCATAAAACAAAACCAATATTTCATACGACGTGATCAGCATATGTGATGGAATATTTTCAAATTGAATAAATTGTATAGCACGCGCCGAATCAATGCAGATGTTATGATTTAATTAATGTGTGTATTATTTAATGCGAGTATATATATTGTAGGTAAATTGACAGCGTTGTTTAATTGTTATTATCGGTGGAATGCAAAAAATAAGCACATCCAAACTTCCCAGCTATTGCGTGAAATCCGTGTGCAAATAAATTGATTGACTCATTTGGCCTCAGGATAATTTGTCAATCGACCAAAATCAACTACTAACCAATTGACAAATAGTAACTTCTTTCTAGCAGAATCGTTTGAACATGAGTAGTCAGGGAAAAACGATGGAGTCAGTCAGTTTTTTTTCACACGACTATTCTCTCCACTTCTATCCGTTAGTAATTCGATATATTGTGATTATTTTTTGTGTGTAGTAATTGATTTTTATATAGCAAAAATCCGAACAAAATGATAATGTATGTGCTAAGTTTTTCACGCTGCAGCTCAAGATGAACCAAACGTAGTGTAAGTGTGTAGTGAACAAAAATTCTCCCATTTATTCAATAAATCTCAATGTTACAGTGTCGTCACGGTTATTTCGTGGCAGAAAATAAAAAAATGAGAATTGCAAAATCACGCACTGTCAATTGAACAAAGATATCACATGTTATTCAATGATTCAATCAAAAAACATTTTTCCGTTTCAACGATAATTTGCATACATCGAGTGCCATTTAAATCGCATTTGCATATGCCCCCTTCATTCCATTTCGTTTTCTTTAACAAATCAAAAAAAAAATCTTTTCACACATAATCGATATGGCTTGAAGTTGTGTTGAATCTTTTTTTTAAACATCGATGTCACGACGACATTTCGTGAACAAAAAATTGTGCTTTCTCAAACGCATCCGTTTTATCTATTTTCGGTGCTTCTTTTTCACGGAGTTTTTCAAAATTGAAAGCTTGAATGGGAAAACTTTGAATAGCAACAAATATCGATTCGGTTGGGTTGAATAATAAAAATCGCTTACGCGATCATTATCATATACCGTTTAATGGTTCTACTGTGTAAAACATTTTACTGTGTCACCAAAATTGTGACATATTTTCGGAACAGATGATAATTTTTCACAATTTTGTCGGAGAAGTGCTAAAGGGCTTTCCAATTTGTTTGATAGACATAAATCAAACACAACTACATTAAAATATTTGATTGTGGCATCTTTTTTTCCAAATTAAGAATCAAGTTCTCTAAAATTTCGAACATCCACAGAATTTCCAGAGAATCGCCATTCGCCATTCGCCATTCGCCATTCGCCATTATTTTGACATCCCTATAGGGATCTTTATAAAGATCGACAAAACAATATTCGAACAAACATCGGCCAAATAAAACTAGTTCACACAACATTCCATGACAGTAAAATTGTTTGTTTGTAATGCATGTGTGATTAAGATTATACGAACGCGTACCTTGACGATGAACGAACAAAAATTACAAAATATTTTTTAATCAAAGTTCTATTATTCAATTTGGTAAGCCATCTTACGTCCATGCACATATTTGTATTTAACATATAAAAAATCATTACAAAACTAATAACATCATACAGAAAAAGGCATAAAAAGGTGGTACCGAGAAGTACAAATAGAAGAATTGCATGAAAACTGCACGAGGACGATGTCCAACTGTAAATAGAAAGCGAACAAGTTTACATACACATTTATTTGTTGGCATCGACGAGCAGTCGTTTTATGACCCGTACAGCAGTTTTTACAGAATCAGCATCAGTAGCAGAAGCAACAACAACAAAAAAAAAACAAGTAAAGGAGAAAAAGAGAACAAACATTTTATATAATAAAATAATGCGGATGCGTGAAATTCAAATAATTTTCCGACGTTTTATATGGTGGTAGTTTAGAGTCGACTTTATAAGCTGGATATTTGATTTGTACAGAATTTTGACATGAAAACAAAAAGTTTTGACTACATCGTTTTCATTGGAAAAATAAACCGACCAGCAGCACACAAACAAAACGGAAAAGTAACTAATGGCATGAAAAATGGAAAATGAAATGGAAGAGGATATGTATGTGATAGTGTGCTTGGGATGGTTGCGTTGTTCTGAACTTATCATATTTATTCATCCATCAAATGATTACGATTGTTCATAAAATATAAAGTAGGCCATGAAATGAACTTTTTTTTCTACTTACATGGACTTGAAAACATGACACAGGAATGAATGCTACGCCTCGCTTGATTTCATGTACGCTTTCTTTCTCATCCTACCTCTCTTTCTCGCTCTCTTTCATGGCTGCCATACAAATGCGTATAACTGTATTCAATAATATTATGCATATGGGGAGATAGATAGAACGAAATCGGATACGATGTATCCTCACTCTATTTCCATGAAATTGTTGGAGAGAAAATATCTTTTAAAAAAATCGTTGGATGCATTCGTTATTTGTTGCCTATTGTGTGCCACCATTGAGGATAACGACGCCGAGAAAGAAAACCAATTTAATATATGAAAATGTAATTTGAATTTCATTCGTTTTGAGTTGTTTTCATTTTTTTTTTGTTCGCCCTTTTCGGTCGCTGTCTCGCTCTTTCTCACTGTCACTCACACTCAACATGCTTAGCAAAATATCTCGGTGTCTTTTATCTCGTACGCTTCAGCTGGCTGGTTGACACTAGTATGTTCACCCTTTAACACCATTTAGTTTATTTTGCATTTCAAATTGAAAATAGTACAATATTATGGAGCACGTGCACACCGATAAGCACTTTGGATCTAAAGTGAAAGCGAACACCTTTCTCTCTCATACACATATTTTCTCTGGCACTTTGGCTCTGTCTAAACGTATATTACATATGAACGTGTGTATTTCTGCGTCTTTGGATCGGATATTCTTTGTGCCAAGTTGAATCAATATGGGCGCGTAACCTGAACTCATGAAATATGAAAGTATCTATAATACAATATATGTATTCTTTAAGGGCATACATTAAAATGCGAATTTATACAACTTTATTTCGACGATGAAAATGAGTGAGACCAACATTGAATACATTGTGAGAGTAAAATCATTGTTGTTATTTTTTAGATTAGCATCTGCAATCTTCTCGAAATTCCCACGCATTTTCAGCAAAAATGAAGCACATTTTAATCATTCGAATTTGCGTGCGATATCAATAACAATGTCACAATAAACACAAAATAACACAACGTACGCACAAAAAAGCTCTGCCATTAACTAATGCTACAAAAAAAGCACTCCGTAACATTCAAACACATCTAGCATACATATGCACACGATACAGCCGCGATGCGTTTTTCCACAGAAACCAAAAATTATTATCATTTAAATATGTGAAGAAGACACACACACACACATTTATATATATTTAAAATTAAATAAATTATGTAATTAATTATTTGCTTCTTAAAAGCTAAAGTCTAGCATAGAAAATAATAAAGCATGAGCTTAAAATGTATGCAGAGAAGAAAAGTGGTGAGTGCGCTCGACTGAACGATGAATAATATTCGTAATATTGTACGCATGAAGTACATGTATGAGCACACCGATTCGACTATATATAGAAAACGTGTATCTCTTTAATCATTATATTTGGCGCAACAATTCATGAACGATTCGCTTGCATAGCAAATTTTAATGTAAGTCGATACAGAGAGTATGGAGATGCCATGTATAGCATTGCCAACATAAAGAATATGTTGACGGTCCGTTGAAAGGCACCTAATGTTCCATTGAATTTTACCTCATACATATACAAAATTTACTCTCTAACAGACACAACGTAGGTTTAAACATATTTCAAATGATCAATGATATTCACGATGAATAAGCAACAAATTTTGACTTTATTTACCGCCAAAGATGCCACACAATTCCGAGACAGCATTTCTACACTAACTTCTTCTACATATGCACAATACAACAACGCAACCCCATTCTGCACAGAAAAAAAAATGCGGAAGAGTATGACAGGCGCACGCTTTTGTACGATTTCTTAGTAAAATCCGTAGGGTTAGACAGTTCCTTCATTTTAATCGGCATAAAGAACTAAAGCGCCTATATCACCTTCCATTCTCTCCTATTTCCATCGGAATTATGAACATTTTTGGAACATATTTTCTTTTATAATAAGAAGACTTGACGAGTATTTTATTACGACCTCAAAAATATATATGTATATCGAAATCGTTCGCTTATTCGAATTTTAAGACTACACGTGACGGTTCTCTAAGTTATGTGTTTACATTATTATTATTTTTGTTTTTGTTTCATTCACGTCAAAATTTGTTTTCATTATTAACTTCTTATTTTTTGGCATCCGGATATTAAATATGTATATTGGAATACTCAGGTTCGAATTTGCATGAATTTGTGTGGCTGTGGTATATAAGGCGTAAACGCTGATGATGTGCGCTCAATGAATGACTACCAATTAAAATCTGGAATTTACAGTGCTCGA